AAATATTCCAGAACATCCCTAAATATTCCTTCTAACACCTTCTCCGAAGAGCTTCGAAATGAAATGAAATGAAAAGAAATGGTCCTACTGTTCTGCTCCGAACTAGACTAATGAAGACGGGCATGCGCCATACAGTGTGATATGAGGAAAATATTGCCCAGACAGCGGCACTACGGTCTTTTTTCATATAGAATTCCAACTGTCAAGGGATCTTTTACGTGCACGCCAATGACTAGACAACTGTGCTTGTCAGGCCCTCTGTCCTGCATCACTCTCAAAGGAGAACCACGCCGGACAATCTGGATGAACTTTCTCTACCAATGCAGGGATCGAAAACCGACCTCCAGGCTAGCGAGCCAGGGTCTTAGCCCACCTAGCCACCGTGATCCCCTTCGAAGAGCTTCGAAGTCATTCATCTATTTCAATCAAATATAGAACAAATCTACTTTGTTTAAGAAATAACTTTAGATTTGAAATAAGCCTAAAAGATAATTGTCATACTTAGAAATCACAATAAACAAACTCAATCCTAAATATAACATCTAAAGTTACTAAATTAGATACCCTTAATGATGATATAATTGACAACTTAAATCGTTTATGAAAATATCTCTCTAGAATAGCAGACGAATTGCCGTCTGCCAGCATTCGACCCATCTTTTAACCCCCAACATAAACACCAGTGATACAAGTCCCTATTATCCAGCTCTATCTAAACTATACAAATCATTTTAGTCTTGCTCATCAAGTCATCTCAAAAAATTAACATTGAAATTGGCTATTGTAAACCTTTTCACAAGATATTCTCAGCCAACTCTGAATTATAACCAATTTTCTTGCTTACATTATCTTTATTTGCTATTGAAGTCACCAAATATAGTAACTTTTGAAACATTAATAGCCATATTTTAAAATTTGAAGCATATTTTCAGATAGACACTATGTACTCAACAGCCAAAAACCTCTACACTCCAAAATCCCACTGCCAACCTGTTTATTAGAAAATATCTGCAAATTATTTATTTAATGCAATTCATTTTCTCTTAGACGTAAAGTCATCAAATATTGCAATAATTGAAACATGGAAATTTATAATTAGTATTTAAAACCAGGTTTTCTCATTGACACTAAATGTACTTAAAATCTGTATCGCTCTATTGTATTATAGGTGTGCAAAATACAGGCAATGATTTTATTTATATATATCATATTTTACTTTTTACTCTTTTATACATACTCAACTCTTACACTATACACATTATAAATAATTTTACTGTTCACTCTTTTATATCTACTCAACTATTAGACTATACATATTATAAATAATCAAAAATATTTGTTTTAATTATTGTATATTATTGTATTTTACTTTGCCTGTGTGTCATATATACATGTAGTAACAGGGAATACTTTGCCCGTGTGTGTCTTATATAGTAACAGCGAATACTTTGCCTGTGTGTGTCTTATATAGTAACAGTGAATAAGTAAAAAATAAATTAAAGGTGTGGAAATTATAAAATACTATAAATATTATAATGTATAATTATATTCTGTGAATAAATATATTACAAGCTAAAATAAATATCATTAGTATATCATGTATTATATACCTGACTGATATCATTACAATATCATTAGTATATCATGTATTATATACCTGAATGATATCATTACAATATTATTAGCCCTCTACTATTGATCAATCAATTATATGTTATGATACTTCGTTTAGTCATAAAATACTATATTACTCGTCTAATGATAGCAGTTGATTTAATGTTGATTCATTTCACTTGAATAGATGTTCGTTATACCCATTATAAATAATTACATCACTTGTACAATATAGCTTAGGTTAACCTTTGTTACAATTCTGATTCATTCCACATGGGAGCCACGGTGGCTCAGTGAGTAAGACGTTAATTGGCTAACCTGTCAGTGATGTAGGACAACGTATAGTCCTTTGGATGGGATGAAACACCAAGGTGAGGTCCATTGTACATATTGGCATGCACATAAAAGAACCCTTGAGAGTTGAAATTCGAAATAAGAGTAGGCCGTAGAGCCTCTGTCCGAACAAAATTTATCTCATAGCACACTGCATTAGCCCAGTCGGAGCTGGACAGTAGGACGTTAAAATCCATTTCATTTCATTTCACTTGAAATATACTGATTATAGACATTAATAATTCCCATCATATCTTGTAATACAGTAAACTTTGATGTTAATTATTCTCCACTATAAACCAATGATATGCTTGGTTTAGTATTAATTGGCCATCTATTATAGTTCATATAATATTAATAGTACATCATACTATGATATGCTTGGTTTAGTATTAATTGGTTATCTATTATAGTTCATATAATATTAATAGTACATCATACTATGATATGCTGTGTTTAGTATTAATTGGCCATCTATTGTAGTTCATATAATATTAATAGTACATCATACTATGATATGCTTGGTTTAGTAGTAATTGGCCATCTATAATAGTTCATATAATATAAATAATATAGGATGTAGGTAATAGTTAACATGTACAGAAATTATTCACCTTAATAAGAGAGAGAGAAAGAGAGAGAGAGAGAGAGAGAGAGAGTTTCGTTTTTAAAATATTTTTCAATTTTATGTAAATGATTCGCTTATGGGTATGGATCTTTAGAAGTGGGAGCAAAATTAAGAGGATGGGCCCTACTTCTTGTCCCGTACAAGCGGGGAATCGAAACCACACCACTTGACTCATTGCAGACCTTATGATCCAACGCGCATGCGTTAACCTTTCGGTCACGCAACCTTCCGCAATATTTGGAAGATTAATCTCTCAACTAAACATCCGCTTCAACCATAAGGATATTAAAGATACATTGTCACAAATATATTTATCAGGTGGTTATTCCCAGTAACAGTATGACATGATATATATGTATTTATCAGGTGGTTATTTCCAGTAAAAGTATGACATGATATATATGAAAAGTTTAGACGCCCAATCTTACTAGAAAAATACCGGATTACGCGAAAAACAGGAACTGAGCAAAAATGTCAGGGTATCACTAACAGCCAACCCGACGGCTTATTGTATGCTAGTTTAACTGAGGGAGAGGTTGTTATTTCTTGATCGAACGGTTTGTTTTCGGTGAAGTATCTTTAAAATATTCTGGCTTATCTTGATATAACTGACGTTTTAGTCATATAACCACAAAATAAAATAGGAATGTAATTTAACATTTCGTTAACACAACACAATACTACCGGCTTTTTATTCTGTTATTAAGGGATGTTATGCTAATGAGAAGAATTTTGCCCTGACAGCGGCGTTTCATCGAATGTATTTTACGTGCACGCCAATGTATACACGTAGGAACCATCCGAAGGACTAGTCAGCCCAATAGACGTTATACCCCTGACAGGTGAAACTCAGACTCGACAAACCTCAAGGTTCTTCTCGAGAATCGAACTTAATTCCCTGACATCAATATGTTATTATCAGAATACTTAGACATTGATTTATTGTCTACGGTATCAACTCAATGGAAACGGACGTAAATTAACCTTGGTATTATGTCAAGTATTATATTATCAAGGGAGTCGCGATGGCTCAGTGAGTAACGTCTATCATAGAGTCAATTGGCGTGGACTCGGTTCCCCGCATGTACGTGACACAGAATAGGGTAGCCTGTCCACCCTCGTGGGTTTTTTCCTGGTCTATCATATACATAGAGTCAATCTGCATGGAGTAGGTTCCCCGCATATACGTGTCAACGAATCTCGTGGGTTTTTCCGGGTCCTGAACTGCGGTTTCCCTCCACTTAACCCCATATCTATCTATCTTTCTCTCTAAATATAATCTAAACGTGACATGTTAATACTATTATAAAGATAGATCTAGGAGTAGCCCATGTCACCAACGCTAACAATATCCGTCGTCCTTTAATATAACATACATTCATAATACACCGCTAGATATGCATAGTGCTAGATATGCATTCATATATATAACATAAATATAGTCTCAATATATATCACACTATAAGTTGATCTACTTCCATACTACCTATGAATACTAACTCAATGCATGAAATTCAAACAAAAATCGAAATAATAGAACAAAATACAATACAAGGTTACGATATTCTAAAATATATAAATTAGCTGAGGTCAAAAACGGTGCTAAAAAGCAAATTAAACAATTAATCAATCAAAATAATACAGTATTTGATAATGAACAAGATATTCTAGACACAATTCACCAATATTACCAACAACTATATACATCCCAAAACATTAACGAAAACCTAATAAACTCCTATATTGAAAACAGTAACATAAATACTCTAACTAACACGGAAAGAGATTCCCTGTCTCATTTCATATCTAAAGATGAAGATCTTAAGGCCTTACAAAGTTTCAGATCAAACCGTAGCCCAGGCATCGACGGTATTCCAGGAGATTTCTATATCAAATTCTTTGACACCATAGGAACCGACCTGACAGAAGTAATAAACAACATCTATCTACAGGGTGAATTATCTAACCCAATGAGAACCGGTATAATAATAATTAATTATAAGAATAAATTGTTTGTCTATAAGAATAGAGGCGACCACCGATTATTTAAGAACTATAGACCAATAAGCCTGTTATGTGTCGACTATAAAATCATCACAAAAATATTAAGTATATGAATGAACACAGTTATTAACAAATTGATCTCTAAAACACAAACGGGAGCCGGACCAAATAAAAGCATCTTCGATAACCTGTATTTAATTGATTCAATCCTAAATTATTTAGACACACATGAAACTAATGCCTATATTTTTATCGTTTGGTTAGGAAAAAAGCCTTTGACCGTATTGAACACAATTATATAAAAACCTGTTTAAAAATTTGAAAAGTAAAGTTCAAGTAAATGGATCCTTCTCTCAAAATATCAAAAATAATCGTTCGATCCGTCAAGGTTGTCCTCTATCCATGATTCTCTATTCCTTACGTATAAATTTTGGCTCCGTATCTAGTTCTGAACTAAATTTAGGTAAAACCGAAATCCTCCATGTTGGTGTTCGTAAACCATCAAATGACTCATTTCCTGAAAATATAAACATAAACATTAAAACGGACACAATTAAATTACTGGGCATTTGGTTTGGGATCAATAAAATGGAGAAAAAAACCTGGTTACCCCTCATCATGACGATTAAATCAACTATTAGTCACTGGTCTACTTACAACCTATCGATTAAAGAAAAAGTCTGCACTTGTACTGCAGGTCACTCATTGATAGTAAGAATGTACAACCGAAAAAAAACAAACACCTACATCATATAAATTTGGCATAATTTATATCAATGTCCAACACTATCTGAAATAGAAAAGGAATTTATTCACAAAATAATACACAATGCAGTTCCAACAAAAGATATTTTCCACACTCGAAATATTTACGCAATAAATGTCAATACTGCCAAAAAACTAATGAAACCTACAGTCACTTATTTCTACACTGCCCTAAATTACAGCACTTTAAATTCTTTGCTACTACACATATAAGCAATATACATTCCACAAAATACTTCCATATCAACAATAATACATTACATTTACATGATGTAAACCCTGAAAATTTATATGACATGTATCTCTACCTCTGGATCATATGGTCCAACAGAATGCATCCCTATATCAACAACATCTCCAACCATCTGATATACCAATTCTATACAAAAAGAAAAGAAAATATAAATAAAATCACCAAGCTTCACCCAACTCTGCCTTACTAAATTCTCTGGTGTAAGGCAAATTATCGTTCTGTGTGAAGCTTCTAAATTAATTACTCTATTATGTGACTAAGCAGACCGTGCTATTTACTTTGAAGTTGCCATAACTTGGCATCTTAGTCATCTTTCGTTTTCGTTAAATGGCACTTTCATACTGTGTCGTATAAACAAAATACCCATGCACCCACCGGAATAATTGTATGTTCAAAAGAAAAAAAAGAAGCAGGTGCAGGACCGAAGGCACGGCAAGAGGAATATCAGTCAAGTCGTCCACAAGCAAAGTCGTCCACACGAAAAATCTGGTGAAGTTGTCCACACTCGTTGGCGGAGTCGTCCACACCCGTTAGTGGAGTCGTCCACACGATTAGTGTAATTTCGGGTTGTAGAAATACGTTGGTTAAGTAGTCCACACGACATAGTTTACTTTCGGGACACATTCGCTTTAACATCATTTCCCCCTGGTTTTCGGAACATCTCCACGCTAGAGCGGACCCGTTCATAAATAAACAACAAAGTAAATCATTTTATTCAATACATAACAATTTCATAAATATAACAAATTCAATGATACTCTGTGGCAAAAATGACATGGCGATACTTCCCCACACGGATATCCCGTTTGAAAAATCCTTCGTTAATGCTTTCTTGTTGTAACTGAAAAAATAAATATTTGATTGTTATAATATTTTAGTGTACATTTTATTGTTAATTTTATTGTACACTTTATATTGAATTTTATTGTAAATTTTGTTGTACACTTAATATTAGATTTTATTTTAAATTTTAAATTATCTTGTAAAAAAAACTACTAACATCACACCTTTCCGTTGTGTATCATCGACTACCTTCTGGAACGCGTGAGCTCTATGCACGATCGAGGTATCATCTGCGGGCACCGGGTCATCTATTAACCTAAAACATCAAATAATACAAAATACTAACTAATTAGGGACGAAATGGCTCGGGTGGGATGTGTATGTGACGTGCACGTTGATGATCCCTTAAGAGTAGGCCGCAGCGCCGCTGTCTGGTCTTAATGTCCCTCATAGCACACTGTATGGCGTATGCTCGTTTTCGTTAGCACAGTTAAAATAGCAGATCGAGACATTAACCTAATTCCGTTCTAAACAGGGAGCCAAAGGGTGCTAGCTTACTAAGTGAGTAAGACGTTGGCTTGTAAGCATGGAGGTCGCGGTTCATCTGGATTTTCCGACGTGGTTTACGTTTGTCAGTGGTGCAGGACAGAGGGCCTAGTCGTTTGGGTGGGACGAAAAACCGAGGTCCCGTGTATACATTGGCATTCACGTATACCTTGACAGTTGGAATTATTGGGTATTATTAATTGGGTGATATTGGGCAATTCGGTGCGCCCGGTCGGGACATAGTAGAAAAAATGTTATAGGCCAAGGCATGTCATAGATTTACCATTAAAATCAACTGAGGAAAGAATTACTAATCTGACATCATAATTATGAATATGCTTAGCGTTATAGCCCTTGATTTCACATAAAATGTATCAAAGCTATCTTCAGGGCTGAATTATTGCCCGAATTTCATGAAATTTGCTAAAATCCATATCAGCCTGAATTTGACCATCTTTCTTTTATTTAAATTTGGTTTTGGTGTTCAATAGGAGAATGTCTCAGTCACGAATACGGAAGGACTCCTCACTTTTTTTTCTATTTGCAATTTTTCTATATACACCCACGCGTAATATAGGCGTATAGAGTTGTCGGCTGTCGGTCAGCTGTTTCGTTACACAAATTTACAGACCTTGAGAGGATGATACCTGTCCATTTATCCTGCATTGTTGTAGTTTTATAGTGAAATAGATAGAGTGACTAATGTCGTCCAAGTTTATAAAACAATCAATTATTGTACCAGGTGAGAATATATATATAAATAATCTTGTCTTGGAGAGCGGCGCGACAGCTTACTCTTACACGGAATTCCAATACCTGCACGCCTGAGTAGACAAGAACTGTCGGAACAACTAGGTGTTATCTATTGCCAGGCCCAAAGTCCTGCACAATGGAAAACGGGGGAACCACGCCAGTTCATGACAGTACATTTAACCCCGTATTTATCACAGTCACACCCAATATATATAATACTAGAATGGGGTTTAACGTCTCCTCAATTTAAGACTAATTAATGTATTTTTCTTTTCAATCGCCAGGCGTGCAATACGATGGTGAACTTTGCTTGGAATGCCGCTTTTTACCCTATCCGATGGATTAGGCACATTTCCTTTGTCAATTCCGCCGGGGCCACCCTGAAAAGCGAGAACGAGTTCTTCTCGGGCCCATGGCGTGATTCGAACTCTAAAACGCAATTTAAAGTAATATTTAACTGTAAATGATGTTACATCAAAACAGCTGTTATACCTTCTTTTAATTTTCTCTACCTTAATTATGGGGGGTTGGATGGCGGAATGGTTAGCACGCGCGCTGTACCATACGGCCTGTCATTGAGTGAACTGGCGGGGTTTCGATTCCCCGGTTGTACGTGACAAGGAGTAGGGTCGCCTGTCCAACCTCGTGGCTTTACTCCGGGTCCCCCGGTTTTCTCCCACTGCTAAAGACCCCTACGCACAAGCGAATGATTAAAATAAAATTGAACCATGTGTTAGTCCCGAAATGACCTAGTTTGTGTCGAGTGGACGTTAAACCCCATTTCTCTCTTTCACCTTAATTATGTTTTATTAGTCGCTACCCACTGTAAAATAGGGTGTTGGATGGCCGAATGGTTAGCGCGTGCGTGTTGTATCCAGGGGCGGATTGGGGCCGGGAAACGGCCCGAGGTCCCGTGTCGGAGCGGCCCCTTTTACTGATCGCGGAGCCCGGATGGGGGAGTCCGGGTGCTCTCCCCCGGGAAAATTTTGAAAAATGGGAGGCCATTTCCCGCAATTTGAGACCATTCCCGACATCCCAATTCTGTAATTTCATCTCTGTAAATAACGAGTTAATAAAAATGTTAAGGAATGTTTAACACCAGTCTCAGGAAATCGTCTCGCACTCATATTCAGCAAGCAGACTAGCTATCATCAAATTTTGCTGAGGCCTTAAAATTGAAATTTTTTTTTGAGTTACAAACGATCGGCAGACGTTTCTGGCGTATCCCCAGAAACAGGGTGCAGGGGACTTAATAATTAGTAAATTTGCCGGTGAAAGTGTCTGGTGAATCCGGTGAAATTTTCGGATTCCGAATTCCGGCCCACACCCAGCACACCCGGCCCAGAAAGTCTATTATACCAGCCCATTCCAAACTCCAGTGATGGCGTGGCAGCCCGTTAAAGCTACCGGCCACATACAACATGATCATCATCGCTGCATGACCGGTTCAATACCCCCCCCCATATAATGTTCAGAAGAAAAAGGTTTTATTAGACGAATTGCACAAAATTATTTTTTTCATTTTTTGTCTGACCGGCCGATGGCCCAATCCAGCCCTGGGTGTTTCATAAGGTCTGTCATCCCCGGTTGGATGTGACAAGGAGTAGGGTCGCCTGTCCAGCCTCTTGGGTTATCTCCTTGTCCCCCGGTCCCAGCCCTACGCGCAAGCGTATTATTGAAAAAATTGAAATACACTGTATATGTTAGTCCCGAAATTACCTAGTTTGTTTCGAGTGAACGTTTAACCCTATCTTCTCCCTCTCCATTGTAAAATACTGATTATTTGTTTGTTCTCAAATCCCCCCCCCCCCGCACCAACAGTTGTAATAAAATAAGTTTATTTTAAACAATAAACCACAGCACATAATTATGGAAATAATAATTTATTTTGACATTAGGAAGTAATCGCTCTTTCCACCGTAAGAATATAAAAAAAAATGTCCGCCTAGTATCCGGTATCAATTTTGGCCTATCTTGATATTACTGATAACCACAAAAAACACAACACACTACTCCCGCTTTTTTCTGAAATGAAATGAAATGAAATGGGGTTTAACGTCCTACTGTTCTGCTCCTAACCTGGGCTAATGAAGACGGGCATACGCCATACAGTGTGCTATGAGGGAAATTTTGCCCGGACAGCGGCACTACGGCCTACTCTTATATCGAATTCCAACTGCCAAGGGATCTTTTACGTGCACGCCAATGTGTACACGGGACCTCGGTTTTTCGTCCCATCCGAACGACTAGACAGCTTTCCTTGTCAGCCCCTCCGTCCTGCATCACTGACAAGGGAGAACCACGCCCGCTTTTTCTGTTGTCAAGGATGTGATACTAAAGAGAAGAATCTTGTCGGGTCATGGGCATTTCATCGAATTTCTTTTAAGAGCACGCCAATGTATACACGGGTGGACCTCTGTTTATCGTCACATCCGAAGGACTAGTCAGCTTAACGGACGCTGTCCCTGGCAGACGAAAATCAGGATCGACAAATCTCAAGGTCCTTCTCAAGATTCGAAATGAAATAAAATGAAATGAAGTTTATCGTCCTACTGTTCTGCCCCGAAATGGGCTAATGAAGACGGATATCCACACAGTGTACTTTCAGGGAAATTCTGTCCGGGCAGCGACACTACGGCCTACTCTTATATCGAATTCCAACTGTCAAGGGATCTTTTACGTACACGCCAATGTGTACACGGAACCTCGGATTTTCGGACCCTCCGAACGAATAGACAGCGGTCCTTGTCAGGCCCTCCGTCCTCAATCACTGACAAGGGGGAATCACGACGGAAAATCTGGATGAATTTAACTTTCTCGACCAATACAGAGATCGAACACCCAACCTCCAGGGTAGCGAGCCAGCCTCGAGATTCGAACTCAATCCCCTGACTCGTTGACTACCACGACCATCAATATGTTAATATCAGAATACTTAGACATTGATTTATTGTCTACGGTATCATCTCAATGGAAGCGGACGTAAATTAACCTAGATATTATGTCAAGTATTATATTATCAGACGAGTCGCGGTGGCTCAGTGAGTAAGACACTCGTTCGTTAACCAGAAGGTTATGGGTTTGATCCCAGTGTTGGTTGAGAAAGCTATTCGGGATTTTCCGGCTTGGTTCCCCTCTCTCAGTCCTGCAGGAACACCGTCTAGTCGTTCGGATGGAGCATGATACTAAAATCGGAGAGTCCCGATGAACTTTCTAAGTAAGGATATAGCGCCATGTGGACCCAGCCGTGTATATTATATCTAGAGGTTTATTAACTAGTTGATATATTACTACATTGTTGAAGATACCAAGTTGGAGACATACCTGTGTATAAAATTAAACGTATAAGCATTATAGTATATCTCCCTATAAGGTGACCTATTTTCATACTACATATAGTCATAATATTATAATTATAGACGTACACCGACAGATATAGTGTCAATATGATGTAGCGCGATAGTGGTAGCCTCTGTTACCCACTCAAACAATATCAGTTGTAGTTGATATACACAGTTATAGTCTGGGTGACAAAGGCTAATGTCGAAGTTCATTATATTAAAACGAAAATAGAATTTCAGAGAAACCCGAGCAAACTTACGCATGCTCAGTCTACAGCATATAGCGTGATATTTTTAGCCTCTGTTATCCACACGCTAACAATATCAATGGTAGTTTACGTACACGGTTATAGTCTGGGTGACAAAGCCTAATGTCGAAGATCGTTATATCAAAACGAAAATAAAAATAGAATTTCCAAGAAACTGTAGCAAGTTTACGTATGTTCAGTCTACAGCATAAGAAGAACAAACTGCGAAAGACGAAGAAAGACGTGAATTTCTATGTGATTTACATGTTTTGTTTGAATTTAATACTTTTGATTTTTAGTTCATCTATCTCGATATCAAGTATTATATTGTTTGATTTTGTATTTTCATCCAGTTTGAACTCGTATTGTCCACAATTATGTGACTTAGACGTTTCTAAGAAACTATATCAAGTTTATGCATGTTCAGTGTACAGTCCAAGGAAGATAAACTGCTCGAGAAGATGTCAGGCGAGGTTAGACGATTTGGCTAAATTTAGCAGTTTTGATTTCTAGGATATCGTATATATTATATTTAGCCTAATTGTTTGTTGTTGTTTTGTCTAGTTTATACAACCAGTGCAACAAACAGTTATTTAAAATGGCAGAGAAGGAAGTGTGTAGTATTTGTTTGAACGAATTTCAACAACGCGTGGTACTCGATTGTGCACACCCCTTTTGTTTTATCTGTTTAGAAGATTATGTGAACAAAACCTCCACTAAAGATCAGTTCCATTGCCCATTATGCCGTAGTTTTATAAATCTCAGTGACGGAGGTCTGGATCGATTTAAACCTAAACCAATTAATATTCCTCAATGTGATGTATGTACGGAAGATACATGTCAATATTTCTGTCGAGACTGTGATCAATATTTATGTAAATCATGTAAAACCACGCATGATAAGTTAAAATCTTGCAAAGACCACGTTGTGTCTCGATATGATGAAACACAGATCTATCAAGCGCCTACTTCACACGAAACAATAAAGGAAAAAGCTTCGGCTTCGTCTATCACAAATCCTAAAGATTTCTGTCTGCGCCATGAAAAGGAGACCGTAAAAGTCTACTGTAAAGATTGTACTGTAGCCGTTTGTTGGAAATGTTTCGTGGCCGATCATAATGGACATCATTTTTTAGATTTACAGGAGGATGAAGGCAGACAAAGTATCAGACACGATTTAAAATCACTGAATGATGAATTAGAAAAACAAATCACTAATTTTCAGAAACATTATGATAATTTAAATAGTAAATTAATTGAAGTCAAACAATGTACAAAAACTGAATGTGACAAAATAGATGCACAGGTTGAGAAAATCTGCTCAGAATTTCACAATATCGGAGAAAATATTAAAAAGGAAATGCAGAAAGCTAGTGAAGAGGAAGAATCCAAATTCAGGAAATTGATGGAGGACATTAAAAAACTAACAGAAGATTTAAAAGCTAGTGTTAAATATTCAGTGAATGTTTTAGAAGATTCATCCGTTGTTCAAGTTTTACAAAGAATACCTAAAGTTAGACAGGAAAAAGATGAAAGTTGTTGTAGAAAATTGGATATACCTGATGTAAGATATTCAACATTTCAAGTAGCAGAGATAGATAAAACTTTGTTAACTAATCAACTTGGTAAAATTGTAAGTTGTCATCAGAATATGATTGGTAAAGTTGTAAGTTGTCATCAGAATATGTTTGAAGATGTTTTTAATGTGGATACTGTGAGAGGTGGTGGTCGGTATTATGGTAAACGACATGTAGTTTCAGGTTTTACATGGAGTATTGTTGTGTATAAAGGATCATCAGCATTCTGTTTTGTATTAAACCTGAATGACGTAGAAGATAAAAGTATTACGTCATGTAAAGTTGACGTCACATGTAAACTTATAAATAAAACAGATGATAGACAATCTGTAGTTAAACAATGTAATGAGACTGTTAGACCTGGTGGGATATACTGTCATACTGATCCTATTGACTGGGAGAGCAGACTCAGTAATCCTGGCAGTGGATTTATTGATGATCATAGAAACTTTACAATTCAAGTAACAATTAATAAGATAACTGACATTAAAATAGATTAATAATTAGACTACTGTTATGGCTGAATTATTGTTAAATAATGTTTTGTTTACGGTGTAAGGGAGATAACATTATTTCTATCCGAAATGGAATAAATTATGGTCAATCGCTGGAAGAAGTAGTTGATAGTTTTTTTCAGATGGAACTTTAATACATGTATAATATCATTCCATATTATAATAAAAAATGATTCCAGATGGAGCTAAAATACATGTATATAATATCTTTCCATATTAGAATAATAATTGTAAACTCTTTGTATTGTTGTTTTATTATGAAGCACTGGTAGTAACCAACAGGTCAAGGGAAACAAAACAAGTTACTGAAAACAGGCATTCCAACCCATTCTTGTTCGACACCGGCTTTGACTGAGAAAGTTGAACAATTTCCAGCCTGTTTTCCACTTTGTTAGGAAAAACGTGTAGTTACCATTTTTAAAACAGTTCTTGATCTTGAAGTCTGTTAACTTACATTAATGCAATAAGAAAAAAACCTGTGCGCCGTTAATATAGAGGTAGCAGTTTACTGTTAAAGGTACACCAGTGGGAGGAAACCGGTGGACCCAGGGAAAACCCAAGAGGTTGGACAGGCGATCCTACTCATTGTCGTGAACAAGCGGGGAATCGAAACCACGCCACTTCACTCAATGATAGACCTTATGATGCAACGCGCACGCATTAACCATTAGGCAACCCAACCACCTCTCAATAGAAGATAGGATAGAGGGTTACAAATCTGATCACAAATTTGTATTAATACCTGCTTTAAATTAATAGCTGACTTAATTGGGTAGAAACGCCATTGTACGGACTAAATTCTCCCCTGTGCATTGCATTGTGAATCGTTATGTAAAAAAGTGAAGCAAAGTCTCTATATATTGGTGAGATTACAAGATTGTACCAAGGGTTAAGTAATTATCAGGAATTGTTCTTCTTATATTAAATATTCTTCGAAATGTCGCCTAAATATGGTATCTATTAACCATAAGCATGGTTAATACTGGTTTAGTCTATCCAATTAGTAAAACAAGCCTAAATATGGTAGCTGTTTACCTTAAGCATGGGTAATAGCATGTTAGTCTATCCAATTAGTAGATATCACTAACAGATTATTGCTCTGTCTTACTAGCTATCCTTGTATAACCCACCATACAAGTTGTACTGATGTCGTCATGTCACGTTATATAACACAGCTAGCAATATATATCTGATATGAACTGTAAGAAACTATACAGCTGCTATATAAGACTCTGACACATAAAAAAAAACATGTTAAAAAGCCAAAATTAGTATAGAGCCCCCCCCCCCTCAAATACACCCGCTTATAATTCTAAACTATTTTATGATAACACATCCACTCGAGTTGGTGAAGTTGAAGGTAGACAAGTGAAATGATATGAAATAAGGTTTAACGTCCTACTGTTCTGCACCGACTGGGCTAATGAAGACGGGAATATACGACAAACAGTGTGTTATAAGTGAAATTTTGCCTGGATAGCGGAGCTGACTCTTATTTCGAATTCCAACTGTTAAGGTTTTTTTAAGGTCCCCGCCAATGTGTCTACGGGTCCCCGTATAGTCGTCCTATCCGAACGCCTACACATGTTGCCCCGTGCCCGTACCACTGACAAGGAGGAAATATGCCGGAAAAAAAAACGATGAACTTTCTTGGCCAACGATATGAGACCTCCAGGTTAGCGAGCCGACGTCCTACCCACTGAGCAACCGTGACTGTCATGGGTTCTTTTACGTGTCCGACAACATTTAACGTCTTACTAATCACCACCGACTGCAATGAGGGGCCTTCTTTTATTTCGAATTCCAGTTGCCATGGATTCTTTTACGTGCCCGACAACGTGAAGACTGCAAAATGTCCCTCATAGTACACTGTATGGCGCATGCCCGTCTTTATCAGCCCAGTCGGAGAAGAAAAGTAGGACGTTAAACCCCATTTCATTTCTTTTCTTTTCTAAATATTGAGCTGGAGATTTTGATCGCGACTTTTTTGGAGTTTTTCCACCGGTAATTCGAGACTATACTATACGCTCAGTCAACCAGTCCCCTCTTACTTTATGACTCATTGGAAAATTAAACGAAACGTGACATTTTGCGTAGGTTTATGAGCCGGATGAGTGGGAGGGGCAGAAATGATGAGCCCGAAAAAAAAATCCTTTGGTTTTGCAACCGAAATCCCATGCTATGTCCACCCGAATTCCAATCAACCAATCAATCAGACGTCGGCATTGACCCGATGCCTGAAATTTCACACCCCGGGAAACAAGGCTCATGCCATGTAAAATGTGGCGCATAAAGCAGAGTGACAACTCTACTATTGCGCTTAACACTGTTTATTACACTGATTTAAAATGTGTAAATGTTAAGAGTGGTACTTGAGCTTTATCTCCGATAGGAATGTTTCTTAAGAGCTGAAAATGTCATATAGATTAAATTGTCGTACATCTCTGGACACTGTATCGGCACATGGTGTACAGGAGCATGGGAATATACACTCTGTCTCTGTCTCCCCCTCTCTCTCTCGCTAACAAACAGACAGTGCTAGATTGACCTGTGGGCTTGACAGGATGAAACCTAGGAGGGTCTCAAGATATGAGGGTCATCGGGCCAAGATATGGGTGAGTGGAGGGTGGTGTGGGGGCTTATCGGGCCATGATTGGGGGGGGGGGGGTCATCGGGCCAAGATGAGGTATGGGAGGAGGGGGGGGGGGGCATCAACTAAACATTCGTCAATATCTTCAATAGTGTTTAATAGTCACTTTGATCTTCCTGTTGTCGTGAGGATGGGGAGGGG